TCTCTCTGACCGTGTCTCTCTCTCACCGTGTCTCTCTCTCACCGTGTCTCTCTCTCTGTGTCTCTCTCTGACCGTGTCTCTCTCTCACCGTGTCTCTGTCTCACCGTGTCTCTCTCTCACCGTGTCTCTCTCTCACCATGTCTCTCTCACCGTGTCTCTCTCACCGTGTCTCTCTCTCACCATGTGTCTCTCTCCCTGTGTCTCTCTCTCACCGTGTCTCTCTCTCACCGTGTCTCTCTCTCCCCGTGTCTCTCTCTCACCGTGTCTCTCTCTCACCGTGTCTCTCTCTCCCCGTGTCTCTCTCTCCCCGTGTCTCTCTCTCACCGTGTCTCTCTCTCACCGTGTCTCTCTCTCACCGTGTCTCTCTCTCTCCGTGTCTCTCTCTCACTGTGTGTCTCTCTCACCGTGTCTCTCTCTCACCGTGTCTCTCTCTCACCGTGTGTCTCTCTCACCGTGTCTCTCTCTCACCGTGTCTCTCTCTCACCGTGTCTCTCTCACCGTGTCTCTCTCCCCGTGTCTCTCTCTCACCGTGTCTCTCTCACCGTGTCTCTCTCTCACCGTGTCTCTCTCTCACCGTGTCTCTCTCTGTCTCTCACCGTGTCTCTCACCGTGTCTCTCTCTGTCTCTCTCTGTCTCTCTCTCACCGTGTCTCTCTCACCGTGTCTCTCTCTCACCGTGTCTCTCTCTGTCTCTCTCTGTCTCTCTCTCACCGTGTCTCTCTCTCACCGTGTCTCTCTCTCACCGTGTCTCTCTCTCACCGTGTCTCTCTCACCGTGTCTCTCTCTCCCCGTGTCTCTCTCCGTGTCTCTCTCACCGTGTCTCTCTCTCCCCGTGTCTCTCTCTCACCGTGTCTCTCTCTCACCGTGTCTCTCTCTCACCGTGTCTCTCTCACCGTGTCTCTCTCTCACCGTGTCTCTCTCTCACCGTGTCTCTCTCACCGTGTCTCTCTCCCCGTGTCTCTCTCTCACCGTGTCTCTCTCACCGAGTCTCTGTCTCTCTCTCACCGTGTCTCTCTCACCGTGTCTCTCTCTCTCTGTGTCTCTCTCACCGTGTCTCTCTCTCACCGTGTGTCTCTCTCCCCGTGTCTCTCTCTCTCTCTGTGTCTCTCTCACCTTGTCTCTCTCACCGTGTCTCTCTCACCGTGTCTCTCTCTCACCGTGTCTCTCTCTCACCGTGTCTCTCTCTCACCGTGTCTCTCTCTCCCCGTGTCTCTCTCCGTGTCTCTCTCACCGTGTCTCTCTCTCCCCGTGTCTCTCTCTCACCGTGTCTCTCTCTCACCGTGTCTCTCTCTCTCTCTGTGTCTCTCTCACCGTGTCTCTCTCTCACCGTGTGTCTCTCTCCCCGTGTCTCTCTCTCTCTCTGTGTCTCTCTCACCTTGTCTCTCTCACCGTGTCTCTCTCACCGTGTCTCTCTCTCACCGTGTCTCTCTCTCACCGTGTCTCTCTCTCACCGTGTCTCTCTCTCCCCGTGTCTCTCTCTCACCGTGTCTCTCACCGTGTCTCTCTCTCCCCGTGTCTCTCTCTCACCGTGTCTCTCTCTCACCGTGTCTCTCTCTCACCGTGTCTCTCTCTCACCGTGTCTCTCTCACCGTGTCTCTCTCTGTCTCTCTCTGTCTCTCTCTCACCGTGTCTCTCTCTCACCGTGTCTCTCTCTCACCGTGTCTCTCTCTCACCGTGTCTCTCTCCCCGTGTCTCTCTCTCCCCGTGTCTCTCTCCGTGTCTCTCTCACCGTGTCTCTCTCTCCCCGTGTCTCTCTCTCACCGTGTCTCTCTCTCACCGTGTCTCTCTCACCGTGTCTCTCTCTCACCGTGTCTCTCTCTGTCTCTCTCTGTCTCTCTCTCACCGTGTCTCTCTCTCACCGTGTCTCTCTCTCACCGTGTCTCTCTCTCACCGTGTCTCTCTCACCGTGTCTCTCTCTCCCCGTGTCTCTCTCCGTGTCTCTCTCACCGTGTCTCTCTCTCCCCGTGTCTCTCTCTCACCGTGTCTCTCTCTCACCGTGTCTCTCTCTCACCGTGTCTCTCTCACCGTGTCTCTCTCTCACCGTGTCTCTCTCTCACCGTGTCTCTCTCACCGTGTCTCTCTCCCCGTGTCTCTCTCTCACCGTGTCTCTCTCACCGTGTCTCTGTCTCTCTCTCACCGTGTCTCTCTCACCGTGTCTCTCTCTCTCTGTGTCTCTCTCACCGTGTCTCTCTCTCACCGTGTGTCTCTCTCCCCGTGTCTCTCTCTCTCTCTGTGTCTCTCTCACCTTGTCTCTCTCACCGTGTCTCTCTCACCGTGTCTCTCTCTCACCGTGTCTCTCTCTCACCGTGTCTCTCTCTCACCGTGTCTCTCTCTCCCCGTGTCTCTCTCCGTGTCTCTCTCACCGTGTCTCTCTCTCCCCGTGTCTCTCTCTCACCGTGTCTCTCTCTCACCGTGTCTCTCTCACCGTGTCTCTCTCACCGTGTCTCTCTCTCACCGTGTCTCTCTCTCACCGTGTCTCTCTCTCACCGTGTCTCTCTCACCGTGTCTCTCTCCCCGTGTCTCTCTCCGTGTCTCTCTCACCGTGTCTCTCTCTCACCGTGTCTCTCTCCCCGTGTCTCTCTCTCTCTCTGTGTCTCTCTCACCGTGTCTCTCTCACCGTGTCTCTCTCACCGTGTCTCTCTCTCTGTCTCTCTCTCACCGTGTCTCTCTCACCGTGTCTCTCTCTCTGTCTCTCTCTCACCGTGTCTCTCTCACCGTGTCTCTCTCTCACCGTGTGTCTCTCTCTCTCTCTGTGTCTCTCTCACCGTCTCTCTCACCGTGTGTCTCTCTCCCCGTGTCTCTCTCTCTCTCTCTGTGTCTCTCTCACCGTGTCTCTCTCACCGTGTCTCTCTCTGTCTCTCTCTCACCGTGTCTCTCTCTCCCCGTGTCTCTCTCTCACCGTGTCTCTCTCACCGTGTCTCTCTCTCACCGTGTCTCTCTCACCGTGTCTCTCTCACCGTGTCTCTCTCACCGTGTCTCTCTCCCCGTGTCTCTCTCTCTCTCTGTGTCTCTCTCACCGTGTCTCTCTCACCGTGTCTCTCTCACCGTGTCTCTCTCTCCCCGTGTCTCTCTCTGTCTCTCTCTCACCGTGTCTCTCTCTCCCCGTGTCTCTCTCTCACCGTGTCTCTCTCACCGTGTCTCTCTCACCGTGTCTCTCTCACCGTGTCTCTCTCCCCGTGTCTCTCTCTCTCTCTGTGTCTCTCTCACCGTGTCTCTCTCACCGTGTCTCTCTCACCGTGTCTCTCTCTCCCCGTGTCTCTCTCTGTCTCTCTCTCACCGTGTCTCTCTCCCCGTGTCTCTCTCTCACCGTGTCTCTCTCACCGTGTCTCTCTCTCACCGTGTCTCTCTCTCCCCGTGTCTCTCTCCCCGTGTCTCTCTCACCGTGTCTCTCTCTCTCCGTGTCTCTCTCACCGTGTCTCTCTCTCCCCGTGTCTCTCTCTCACCGTGTCTCTCTCTCACCGTGTCTCTCTCACCGTGTCTCTCTCTCACCGTGTCTCTCTCTCACCGTGTCTCTCTCACCGTGTCTCTGTCTCTCTCTCACCGTGTCTCTCTCACCGTGTCTCTGTCTCTCTCTCACCGTGTCTCTCTCACCGTGTCTCTCTCA